AAACCATTTCCACTCTTGTTGAGACTTTTCCAACTCCTGATGGCACTCAGGACAGAGTAGAACTCCTTGCTAGGCTTCCTGAGCTTGTACATCTTTATAGAAACCACTAGGCTCCTCTTCCTCCCACGAAGCTGCTGATAGGTTTGAGCCACTGACCTTATAAGTAGCAGCCCAATGCTGAACTCCTGGGAACCAGGTATCTTTAAAGTGAAAAAAAGAATAGAATACGAGAGGAAAAGCAAGAACACTTAAACTATCTGAGGAAATGGAGACGAATGACAAGAATGTTTGATTCAAATATATTTCTAACTTTGACAGGATCAAAAAATGCACCATTTATCTGCTATGAAGAAATCCAATCACAAGTTGACAGGTTTGGGAACTGTGGTTGGGAACTTTACTTTGGATATGTATATTGTTTATGGAGGTATGTTATATACATTTAAAATATGCTTTACTTCTACTTTTAGTTGCTTCTCTCTCTCTCCTTCTAGTATGTGGCATTAATGACAGTGCTTTCAAGTATCATATGGGAATGCATTTCAAATAGAAATGTCCATTTCTGACTTTTTTCTCATGCTAAAATTTCCTTCTTTTTAAATATTTCTATGTTGTGGTAATTATGTACCTGAGTCTTGTCCAAAATAGGAACTCATAATATCCACAGAACCTTTTGTCTCCAAACCTGCTCATTTTTCTTTATAAAAATAATATCATCTTGTTGCGAACAAGGTGGGTCAGAGCAGAGACCCCAAACCCATCTGTAGACAATGGGACATGTCCTCCCAGAAGGGTCACAAGGAAGGGATGAGTCAACCAGGGTGCAGGGAAGCACCGATGAGACACACAATCCTCTGGTTCCTGGAGGCTTCCTCAGCCCTCATTATCATGATCCCATTTCTGCCTTTCACTGTGGGCTAGACCGGCACATGTACACTTGTGCAGATAAGCGCTCACGACACACGGAACCCAGGACAGTAATGGGAGTAGCGATGCGAGGAGGGGTAGGTGGAAGGTGGGAGAGGAAGGGAGGAAGGGGGAACCACCCGAGATGATCGACACATAACACTCCCTCCCCCCACTGGGGGACGAACAAAAGAAACCTTGGGGGAGAGGATACAGCGGTCAGTGTAAGATATGAAAATAATAATAATTTATAATTTATGAAGGGGTCATGAGGGCGGGATGGGGAGGGAGGAAAAAAGGAGGAGCTGATCCTAAGGGATCAATAGAAAGTAAATGTTTAGAAAATAATGACGGCAACATATTTATCAATATGCTTGATACAATTGATGTATTGTTTGTTATGAGCTGTAACAGCTCCCCCCAAATGATCTTTTAATAAAAAAAAATAAATAATATCATCATCCACTTATTTGCTTTCCCAAACTGAAGACTTCGCAGTGTCTGCACAACGAATTTCAATTTGACTTGCATCTGTAGAGGCAGTGATGTGCTATTTTGGCAGCTGGTTTGTTTTAAATATTTATTAGTAATCTACTATGTGCCAGACACTGGACTAGATCATAGCAAAACATACATGTCCTTGAACCCATGGCACTTGTGGACTGGTAAACATACTGTGTTATGCCAGTTTGTCTAGAGAAACAAATCCAGTGACACTCATACATAGCTTTATATCATGAAGAAATTATATATCAAGAAGGCATCCCAGCCTAGTCCAACCCAAGTTCATAAGTCCAGTGCTAGACCATAGTTTCATAGTTTCATAGTCTGTCTTCTGCCTCATGTAGCTGTAGGCTGGGGATGTAGAAAAGTAAAGCAGGAAGCGGAATGATCACAGACCAGTGAGTAAAGAGTCATGTGATCCAAGGTCAATGGAAATATGGCAGGGCCTGGACAGCTCTCAGGGTTGAGCAGAGTCCACATGCAACTGTCTCTTGAGGCAGGCATGGAGTTGTCCCAGCAGACAGAAAGGCCAAGTGGGGGAGAGAGAGAGAGAGAGAGAGAGAGAGAGAGAGATTCTCTGCTCCTCTTTCTCTTATACAAAAGGTTTTAAAAATTATTACTTATTATTAATTGGGAGCCAATACATACATCATATCATTCCACAGTTCAATTATGTCAAGCAGGATTGTAAAATTGCTTCTACCACAATCAGTTTCCAAACATTCTTTTTCTTCCTAGACATTGTCTTCCTCTTAACCCTCCCCACACCCCCGACACACTGTATCCACAGCCCCCCTCCCCCAAACCCTTATTCTACTTTCTGCCCTATAGGTTCATCAGTCCTAGGTTTCATATACCGAAACACATAAAAACATGTAATAACTTCATAAGGGTGACCTCCAATGACATAACACCTCTGTGAAACACCCTAATTTGAACGAGCAAAAACAAAACAAAACAAAAATACAGAAAATGTTGAAAACCAGATCAAGTCCAGCATGCATAAGAGGGAAGATCAATTGACAGAGTTTTAACTGTTCAAGTCAGATTCATGCTTTGATCTGCTATACTCATCTCTCCAATGCACTGTTTAGTAACCCTGTTGGTCCCTTCCCTCAACTGTGAATAGAGGGAGTTCGTCAGAGCCTGGTTTCTTATATAGTTCCCACAAACGAATTGTGGGCTCCCACTGTCGTCCACAGCCTTCTGTAAACTAAATCTCACCGTTACACAAAAGGTTTTTTAACATTAAGGATGTGTCATCAGGCTGCAACCTGATTGACCCGTTTGACCTCACCCCTACTTACGTGCATCTAGTTGACATAATTGCCAGCTACCACACAAACCAGGTACTTTTATGCTTCCTTTACATTGCTGGTGACTCTTCTTTTCCTTAGAAATACCTTTGCATGCCTGTTGAGATTTGATTAATAGGTAGGCTTTGACTCGGGTGACATCTTTTCTGGGACATTTGCCCTAATTGCTGAGTTAGGCTATATTACTATCTTAAACCTTCCCGAGGTTTTGTTTTCATTTGTAACATATTTAATGAGATTTTCATCAACTCTAGCACTAGACTGCAAGATCCCTGAGGACAGGGGCCACAACTGATTAATCTCTCTGGAGTATGTGTATAGAAATGGTTAATTAAATTGACGATTTAACAGTAAATATATCTTCTGAAAAGTGAATAAAATACCACTAGTATCATTGAATAGTAAGTTGTAAGATTTTGTATTTTCTTTTAGATTTTTCTTTAAATATTATTTTTAAAGCATTATGTTTTCTTTAGATGCAATGCTATAAATGTGGAATCATTTTTTTGTCAATGAAATAAAAACTAAGTAATTCCTACTAAATACGGTATAATAATATTATTATTCAATTATGTTTGCAGTGATCTCATGTGTGGAAGATTAATTTGTTCCTACCCTAATCGCATTCCAATAATTAAGGAAAATGCCGCGGTGATTTATGCTTTCGTGCGAAATCATTTATGTGTGACCATGGCCTACGCACATCGAGAACCGCCTCATGATACACTGAGGATCCGAAGTGGCTCCCAGTGTGATATAGGGAGGGTAAATGGTTTAAAATATACTTTAAAAGACTAATTTTTATCCATTGGTTAACAAATATGCTTAATTAAATTTTACCAGGTTGTTGTTATACTGTACATCATATGTGTTACAACGTTCTTCAAAATGGTGTTTCTGTAAGTTAGTCTACTTATGTAATACAAAAACCCATTGTTGCTGAGTTGCTTATGACTCATACAGCCCCCTAGGACTGAGTAGAACTGCCCCAAAGTGTTTTCAGGGCTGGAAATTTTTATAGAAACGGATTGTCACCTCTCTCAAACTGCTAACCTCTCCATTAGCAGCTGAGTGCTTAATCACTGTGTCATTAGGGATTTTATACTTAATTAATAGGATTCATGATCTCAATTTTAGTTATGGTAGGCAGTAAATAGATACTACGTTCCAGAAGGACTTTATTAGACACACCATCATGGGCAAGAACCAATAAGATGGATCAACATATAAAAGGCTTAGAGGTTTAGATTGCTTATATTTAGAAGGGTTTAGAAGCTCATTATTTTAGAAAGAGTTATGGCGTGATTTATGCTCTAATAGAATATATTTTTATGAAGATATTACAGAATTTATTCTCATGACAAATCTCAAATTCTGTAGAAAAAATTACATTGTATTTGTGTAAGGAAATTGCACCTTAGTGAATTTGACGTGGAATATATCCTTAGTTCTCTTATTACTAGACTTAAACTAAAAGGGCTGTATAGCTGTATTTTTACTATATTCCCTAAGAAGATAGACGTCACTAGTATATTTGAATAAAATTTTCTATTACTCTAATGATGACTCATATTTTATGAAATTGTAGTCTATGCTTTGGTTAGCTAGCATTGACTTTCTTCCTTAAACAACATTTTGATGATAGCTATAATGAATCCAAGGTATATTCTTTTAACAGTACTCTCAAATCATTTGGTTAGGTTTTCAATTGTTATAATGTTATGATGGATGGACCCTTCTGACTCTGAACCAGTTTTATATGTTTTCTTTAGATTTGTGTTGAAGGTGCATGTGTAGAATCAAGGATACTTGAGGGTCAATCAAAAGACTGTTCCAACAAGTGTCATGGAAATGGAGTAAGTAAGCACATGATATATATACATTTTTAATCATTTTATTGGGAGCTCTTACAGATATCATAACATTCCATAGTTCAAGCGCATCATGCAGTATGGTACAACTGCTACCACAGTCAGTTTCAAAACATTTTCTTTCTTCTTGAACTCCTTGATATCAGTTCCCCTTTATCCCCTCACTCACCCACCTCAGGAATGCTTATTTTTATTTACCTATATACTTGAGTATAAGCCGACCCAAATATCAGCCGAGGCACCTAATTTCACTACAAAACTGCATAAAAATATGCTGAGAAACTCGGCTTATGCTTGGCCATCTCTTACACCATCCAATATATCCATTTATGGACAATTCTGTTGTTCATGCCCCTCGAGTGGGGCTATACAGTCATCAGTGCTATCGGCTGCTTCCCCTTCTCCTGCCCCTCATGTATAGAATGATATTAATTATACAATTGAACATAGACAAGTCTAATGATGAATGAGGTTGATCTACTATAGTCAACTCTCTAATACTTTGTTTGGTGATCAGTTTATTCCTATCCCTCAATTATGGATAGAGGGAAATCACCATAGGTTTATTTCCTGTGTAGATCTTGCAGATGTACCCTAGACTTCCACTGTCATTCATAGCCTTCTGCAAACCAGAACCTCACAATTTAAGCTCCGATATTATTTATTCCTTTGGCTTTGGATTACATAATTTACAATCTTTCTGTCACGGATGTTAGTGTCTCCATGTGGACTTAGTTGGCATCTCACTTTGATGGCTGGCTGCTTGTTTGGAAAGAAGCTAGACACTATTCTTTCTGATAGCTGGGCACCATCTAATTTCTTTACTATACTTTGCTGTAGCACCCATATATATCTTCTGTGTTCCCTTCCTGATGGTGAGAAGGGCCATGATGTAAGAACTAGTTCCTGGATCGGTGTTTTTTATCTTCCTTCGGCTCCCCTTAGAGACCTCCTTGTTAATTTATGGTGGAAAATCTTATCCATTATCTCCATGGAGCATAAGGATCTTCCATTAATATTGTCATTGATTAGCCCATGGTACTAATTTTTAGGATGCTGTTGAGGGAAGGATACTGTAACTTTGTAGGCTAACTACATATATCAATACTTGCATTATTCACCTGTACAGAATAAATTCTTATGGGGTTTGCTATTATTTACATAAGCAATGGGAGTTGATTATCAAGCAAAATTTACAATAATATTCATTGACTGTCAATCACACGTCTGCAGGAATAATACACATCTTAATGAAGCCAGTAGGGCATTGAGGTACTAAGTCAATGTTTGTCCATCTACCGACGTTCAGTACTCTTGGTGTTATTATCTTCTGCTTCTTCAAACACCATGACTTTTCAGTCTTGAGTCCTCAAGTTACAAGTGTGTTTGAGGTGGCTCACCTAGAGGAGTTTCCACATCGGATCCCTCTGGTGTGCCTTTGGAGCTTATTGTGTGCCATGAGGATCCAGGATGAATTGCTCCAGCCTGTGGCACTTGGCCTGAGTCCCCAGGGTTTATACATAAACTTGGGCCAATTTGACTTCTTAGGTGTATATTACCAGGCTTACTCCTCCCCCGTAGGGTCCTTAAAAGTATTTTCCCCCATTTGGAAGTTGATCCTCCCTGATTTTCTACCAACAGAGGTGAACTTGTCTTATCTCAGATATATCTGCTTCCTTCCCCTTCTCATGACTTGACCTTCCCATCAGTATCCCTCACCCTCTGATAGGGATGTCTGTCTATCTCTCCAGGAGGACTTTGTCATAACTTTGCATGGCAGCCACTAGGTGGTCAACATACCCAGCCCCTCCCTTGACAATTTGATCCTAGCTGAGAAAAAAAAAAAAAAGCCCCGCTCCTGCTCTGTTAGCCCCAAGTTATAGGCAGTAGCTGCATAATGAGAAGACATGAGTAGGCCCTGCCCTGATTTTCTGTTCCACTGCTTTAATGAGGTGTAAAATATACCAAAAGGAAAAGGAAAATGTCCCACAGAGTCTCTGTAGCCCAAGTCCTCTTGTGAAAGTGTGGGCTTGTGCCCCTACCTAGTAATTGGGACTCTTGGAGAATGGGGGTCCCCATTCCAACAGCCTCTGCAGTAGTGCAGTGGATCCACCTATTCTGCATCTTCTTTCATCTACTCACAGTACCCTGGAGGTATGGAAAATTCATGGTTTTCTTAGTCAGTGTAGTGAGCTTTTATCCTATTCTTCTGAGATTCTGCACACCTGGTTTTCTCTGTACTTGTAGAAGGATTCTGTAGTATATCTGGCTAGGTGACCGTCTTAATCAGAAGCCTTGCTTTCATTTACCTATTTATTTAGTTTTAATTAGCACTATATTAGCCTCATTTGCTCCCAACCTATATGAATAATTCCCATGTTGCATGACTCCTTTATTTATTTTAAACTCATTTAATCATGTGCAGACATTTCCCATATACACTATTTTATTTGGTGTATCTCAAGAGCTTTTAAATTTCCGATCAAATTTGGCTTAATTTGTACATCAACACCAATAATAATATTAATGTATTAAGGAGTGTATCAAAGGAGCCTTGGTGGCATAGTGGGCTACGCATTAAGCAGCTAACCATAAGGTCATGGTTCCAACATACCAGTTGATTGAAGGGAGAAAGATAAGACTGTCAGTCCCTATAAAGATTTAAAGTCTCAAAAATCCAAAGGAACTGTTTGTTGTACTCTGTCCTATAGGATCACTATGAGTTGGAATCAACTTTATGGTAGTGAGTTTGATTGAATGAGGTAAGGTAAATAATGGGTTAGGCTGGTTTGACTAGAGAAACAAATTTAGTGACACTCACATATGTGTAAGAAAGAGCTTTAGATTAAGAAGTAATTATGTATCAAGCAAACATCCCAGTCTAGTACAGATCAAGTCCTTAAGTCTGATACTAGTCCATAACTTCAGACTCACACAGACACATGCAATGATGCAGAACTCGGGAAGGCCATGGGCTGGTGGGTGGAAAATGATGTGGATCCAATGGTGGTGGAAGCATCACAGAGTTCTGGCAGGCCTCTGTGTGGCTGGTCAACAGGAAGGTGAAGACAGAGAAAGAGGAGCTGGCCTCCAGAGAGCCTTTGTCTTGGTTGCACCTTCAAAGGAGGTCATCAAGCTGTGATCTGACTGACAGCCTGAACTCTACTCATATCTTCTTACAGGTGCCAGGTTGGCACAAAAACACCCCCTAACTATTACATGTAATTTTTATTTTAATAGATATTGAAATATGTTAATAAAATAAAAGTAATAAGTGGTATTTATAACAACATCATTTACTGTATTTCTTATAAAAATATAAAAGAGAAGAGAAACTCTTCCTTCTAATAATATAATTAATATAGCTTGAATGATGGAGTTAAATAATATCTGTGGATGAAAGTTTCTTGAGGACAGAATAGATACATAATCTAAAAAACATATTCCCACAAATTGCTTTTTAATTAAAAAATGAAACCATAGTAACTTTACAGTGGGGAAAAAAATCTTGGAAGATGTCAGCTTAACCAAATAAGTGACCGTGCATGTTAGGACACACTGGTATTCTGTGCTTCCTGAGAATGACAGCATCACTTCTGTGATATATTTAGGGTAAAAGTGAACACATAACAGAAACACACATACACACACACAACAGCCTGAGATGTTGACATTTTCATTTGTAGGTGTAAATATCTGAAGCTAACAAGCCGCTCTCCTAGAACGTAGACATGGTAAGAGATGTGCACACTTTGCTCCTTGAATTGGTTTTAGCTGGCTCCAGCAATCCACTGGAAGGCATTCATTTTCATAAGAATTTAAGTATGTGATTTTGAAATTAAACATTAAATTCGCATATAAATATTTAAAGGTGCTAATTTTCTTAGTGCATATATTGTGAGCATCATTATATCGCTTATTTTCAGGTTTGCTTTCTTTTCTTTTCAGCCTAAGGAACCAAGCATTTGATTTATAGTTACTTTCCTAAATAAATCAAATGGGTGAAATTAAACTGGGCACATTTGTGAAAGTAAGCTGTATGATTCATCTGATGTTTTCACTTTGAATGAAAAAGAATAGCTCTACATGATGGCTTAATTTGATTCAAATGATCCTAGGTGTGCAATTCCAAGGAGGAGTGCCATTGTTTTGAGGGCTTCAAACCTCCAGATTGTCAAACTCGGGGCAGAGGATTTGCTAGATTGCCTGGGGTAGAGGGCAAGTATTAATCTCTTTTTGTATCCTTTTAATAAATTGCTTATCTTCACTAAAACAAACTTAGTTTTTTGTCGCTTAAAATGAGAGTGATATTTGTGATTAAAATTAGTCAGGTATTTCTCAAAGAATGGGGACTAGATATGCGCTCTTATCTCACTTCCCTTTTTAATCTTCACTGATTCAAATGTGATTAAAGCTGAGAGCATGTGGGAAACTTTCTCTTTACTGCTATCATTGACTTTCTCCTTTAAAATATCTTTTCAACTTCTTTATAATCATGATCTACTCTCTACAGAAAAATATGCTTAGCATCTACTCTGTGTCTAGCATTTTTATTATTGCGGAAGAAAACAACAACAAAGGAAGTAAAAGACAAGGTTTTACTCTCAAGGAGTTTACAATTCAAATGTGGAAAACCTATAGAAGTTGCTGGTAAAGATATGACAGGAGGGATGCCAGCACTACACTCTGTTTTTTACTATATCTTTAGGTTTTATGATTCATTCATTGATTTAGCAAATATTTATTGGACTATTAATATATAATGGGTGCTGACCTGGTCCTGGGGATGTCATATTTATCCCAACTTATTAGGATTCCATGTGTATCAGAACAGAGCTACTCTCCCTAGGGCTTTAAGTGTCTTAATTTTTCAGCAGTAGATTGCCAGGTACAGATTTTCAGGACCTCTGGATGAACTCAACCTCCAATCTTTAGGTTAAAAGCCCAGTGAGTTAACTGCACCATCCAAATGAAGCGAGTCACATAAACCCTCTCCTCACGAAGCATAGAGAATCCATTTTAGAACTATAAATCCAATGTTAACAAATGGCTTAATTACAGTTAGGAATCAAGTCTCCTGATTTTATGCCAATACAAAATCCACTGCCATCGAATTAATTTTTGACTCATAACAATCCTATGGGGCAAAGTAGAACTGCTTTGTAGCGGTTTTTTTTTTCTTTTTCTTTTTAAAACAGTTTTATTGGAATATGATTTACACATCCTACAGTTCAATAGTGCAATCTCATCAAGAAGAGTTGTACAATCATCACAACACAGATTTTAGAACATTTTCTTCATTCTGCACTCACATTATTAGCTTCCCATTTCCCCCCAAACTCCCCTGCCACATCCTGAAGAAATCATTAATCCAGTGACTGATTCTATAGGTTTACTTATCCCAGATTCCATATGTAGAAAAACATGAAAACAAACATAATAACAAAGCAAAACCTACAAAAGTTTCAATAGAACAGAAAATATTAAAAACTAGAACAAATTTAAAATGGGTCAAAAAGGAGACCAAATGATAAGATGTTAAATTTTAACCTTTTCAATGCATTCTGCATGATACCAAGGCAATTCACATCCCTGGTCTATGGTCAGAGGGGATTCACTGAAGGCTTAATCCATGTATATTTCCCCTTTACTTTCTAAATTTTATTTTATTTTATTTATTTTTTATCAATTTATTGGGGCTCATACAATTCATCACAATACATAGATCAATTGTGTAAAGCACATCTAGACATTTGTTGCCCTCATCATTCCCAAAATTCGCTTGCCTCTTGGGTTCCCGGAACCCGCTCATTTTCCTTTTTAAGGACACAAATCTACAGAATCTTGGTGCTATATCTTTCTCTCATGGGTACGGAATGTCAACCTTTGGATTAGCAGCTGAGCATTTTGACCATTGTTTTACCAGGGTTCTTTTATTTTCACGCCAGCACTCTTTTAAATATACCACAATGACTTGGTATATAAAATTAGATTCCATAATATTAATAAGTCAATGACCCAGTCAACACCAACAGGATATATAAAGGGTTTCTAAAATATATAAGGACCATATGAAAGGTAATGGCATTCTAAATTCTATGTCAATGGCTAATTTAATGATACTATTATTTGCATTACCCAAGACCCCACGGAATGCATTTATAGTATCACTCAAACAAACAAACAAACAAACAAACAAACAAACAAACCGATAATGCTGCCATTAAAATGAATAGGGATACACACACACACACACACACACACACATACTCACTCAACTCTAGCCTAAGAATAGTCAGTTCTTATGATGTGGACATGCTCAATATTAACCTTTATGAAGGAATCACTGAAGATAAATGTACTATAGTAAAATGTGGTGAAGAAATAAGATGATACCTGGTTATTAGAGGGAATAGCACCCAGAGTCGTAAAGGCTTGTTTGAAAACAAGCAGCTATTTAAGTGAGGTGATGGTTAAGTGTACATGGAAGAAGCACATTACCCTATGTGACCCAAGGATTGTCAATTACAAAACCAAAGATCAGAGGAGGCAAATGAATTAGCTTAAATTCTGAGCACCTGGTTTGCAGAAGGCTATAGATGACAGTGAAAGTTCAAAATCGATTTTGAGAGACCTCACGGGGAAAAAACCTCTATTGAACATCTTTGGACCATTGACCAGGAATGTGAAAAGCCCTGCCCATAGTTAGACGATGTGATAATCACATAATCTGGTGTCAATTTGAGGATTAAGAGTGTAGGGTGGAGTCTGGCCTGTCAATTGGGATAGAGCCAATGAGGCTCTCTACTGCCCTGGTAACAAGTTACTGTCTCTGAAACTCACAGGGGCAGTTCTACCCTGTCCTATAGGATCACTATGAGTCGGCATTGACTAAAGGGTTATTATGAGTCTAATAATAATATGATTCTAATTCTAATAATAACAAGATTACAAGACAAAATATTAGGGATATTGTTTTGCAGCAGGTTGATAGTAAAAGAAAGTTCTCTGTTGGTGTAGTTTCAATGGTTTTTTAATGTCTTTTTCTCTTTAGGCTTAAATATGGAAAGCATATTTAGAGGGAATAAAAAGAAATGGCTGCTTCTAGGTATCTGCATTCCCTTATCCATTGTTGTCCTAGCAACCCTTACAGCACTCAAATGGAAAACGTTGAAAAGCTGCTTCACTAAGGAAGAGGACTCACGAAGTAAAGAGTAAGTGGGTTTGTGTTCTAAAGTTAACTTAAACACCGGTTTGAATCTTGTCATATGTAAGGCAATTTCATGAATAGCAACAGTGTTTTACATTACAGTTTCTGAATATTACACCAGTATCTTATTTAATTGGGTGAGATAGTTCCTGGTGTCTCCATTTTAAAGATTCAAAAATTTTGGGAGGGCAGTTTATATCACTTGCCTATGTATGCCACTGCCCTGATCATTGCACTCAAATATACTCATATGAAAGAACCCCAATATATCCATATATAATGCTTTCAAATATAGAACCCTCTTGTTTCTCAATGTTTGACCTGTGAGTCATCTATAGGAGAAGCACCAGAAATATTTATTTAAAAATGCAGATTTATGGGACCTACCACTGATTCAGTGAGATATTTCCATTTACATTGCTACTTCATGTAAGAAATAAATAAGAAAAAAGTCAGAAAGACAAATGTCCAATTTAGCCTATAGCAGTTTTATTTTCAAAGAGAAAAAGGTGACAAAAACATATTTACTCACTGCTAGAATAAGCAAATATTGTTTTTTTCCACCTTTTTTGTGAACATACAGCATTGCATGTATGAAGGGGTTACAAAAAACTCATTGAAAGGTTGAATTGAAAGGTAATGGAATGTCTCCATAATTTTTTAAAAGCAACCTTGTATACTTAGAATCCCCCTTCTAATACTATTCTCCTCTCTCCCGGCAGGGAATGAGACGTACACTGACAGTTGTTACATATCTTTTATTATAGTTTTAACTGTGATGGGGTGTGTCCATCTGCCATATTTAAGATAGTTTATATTTTAACTGTTCATATTTTCTCTGTAAATGCATTATCTTTTCTATTTCCAATCATATCGAAGTAGTTTTTCCTTTTGATCATCAGTTTTCTTGTTTAATTTCTATTTATTAGTAAACATATATAACTTTTGGTTTTGTGAGGATCTCTGTATTTTCTTTTTTATATCATTGAGGTTTGTTCCCCCACCTTTCTGCTCTGTCTTGCTATTTTAATTCTTTTCTGAGTCTAATGCTTATCTTATTAATTTCTAATTTTATTTTCTAAATATGGTATAAAGGTAAAACTTTCCTGTTACATATAATTTTATCTACATCTTCCATTAAAAATATATCATTGATACTTGATTTAAAAAATTACAGCTGCAGAAATGCTAAGGAGTAGTTCTGCTCTGCCCTATCGGGCTATTTTATCATTTTTATATTTGATCAATATTTACTGAGATATCCGAGCATATTTTCCAGAGTCTTTATGTATCACAGAAGCCCGGGTGGCATGGTGGTTACTTGCTGGACTGCCTTGGTAATTGCGGGGCCAGCTGTTTGAAGCCCCAGCTGCTCTGCAGGAGAAAGACAGGGCATTCTACCCTAGCAAGGGTTACAGACTCAGAACTCATGTGCAGTTCTATCCCATCCTGCAGGGTCACTATAACTCAGCACTTGATAGTAGTGAGTTTGGTTTGCTTTGGTTTACTCATTATACCTTTTAATGCTAATTTATTATAATTTAAGAAATAGAAGAAGCAAAAAGAGCAGAATTCTCCTTCACCAAACTTTTCCTAATGATAACATTTTATATAAACATAGTACATTTTCTAAGCCAGGAAAAGAACTTTGATATAATATTGTGAATTGAACCATATATCTTATTCATATTCTCCAGTGTTTACATACACTTATACATATGTATATAGTTTTATGGACTTTTTATATTAGTGAAAATAGACACATATAAACATTAAACTGATTCAATTTTTACACAAAAAGTTCAGTGATGTTGATTATATTCTTCATGTTATGCAATGATTATCACTGTGTTTTTCTGAGTTATTACAACATCATTGACATAAACTCAGTAAGAAAAACTCGAGAATCACTGCCTTTTTTTCCTTCTACTCATGCCTGGTAACCACGCGTAATAATGTATGTTTTCTATATGTGCTTATCTATACGTGCTAAGTGAGACAATGCAAGTATGTATCTCTTTTAGACTAATTTATTTCTATCAGCATATTGTTTTTGAGGTTGAACCATGTTGTAGCATGTATCAAGATGAAAAATGGAAAAGGTTGAACTCACAAACCACTCTGCAGGAACACAGGACGGCCGTCTGGCTATCGAAAGATCTGGAGTTTTGGAAACACTGTGGGGGCAGTTCTACTCAGCCCTTTGGGGTAACTATGAGTCTGAACTGATTCAAAGCCATTGATTTCTATTTTGGTTTAATATTCCAATGTACTAAATGCCACAATTATATGCCACATTTTGCTTAACCGTTCATCTATTGGACATTAATTGTTTTTGCCTTTTGTTGTAAGGTGCCGTTGTATCAGTTCTGACCCATATGACCTCGTGCGTAACAGAAAGAAACACTGTCTGGCCCTGCACCATGCTCATACCTGTTCCTGTGCCTGAGGCCATTGTTGGAGCTACTGTGTTGATCCATCTCACTGAGGGTCTTCCTCTTTTGTCACCACCCCTCCAATTCACCAAGTGTGATGTCTTTCTCGAGGGACCAGTCTCTCCTGATAATATGTCCAAAGTATGTAAGAGGAAGTCTTGCCATCCTTGCCTCTATGAAGCATTCTGGCTGTACTTCTTCCAAGACAGATTGCTATGTCCATTTAGCAGTCCATGGTATTTTCAGTGCTTTTCTCTAGCACCCCAATTCAAATGCATTGATTCTTCTTGGGTCTTCTTTATTCGATGTCTAATTTTCACATGCTTATGAAGCAATTCAAAATACCCTGGCTTGGCTCATGCCCACTTTAGTCCTCAAAGTAACATCCTTACTCTTCAATACCCTGAAGAGGTCTTGTGCCACGGATTTACCTAATGCAACTTGTATTTTGATTTCTTCACTGCTGCTTCCGTGAGCATTGATTGTGGAGCCAAGCAAGGCAAAATCCTTGACAACTTCAACCTTTTCTGCATTATCATGATGTTACCTGACAGGATGTTGGTCTCCTTTACATGGAGTCGTAATCCATAATAAAGGCTGCCACCCTTGAACTTCATCAGCAAGTGCTTCAAGTCCTCTTCACTGTCAGCAGCACGGCTGTGTCATCTGCATATTGCAGTTTGTTGATACTTCCTCCCATCTTTATGCCACAGCATATAGATTTAATAAATATAGTGAAAGGATACAGCCCAGTCACACCCCTTTCCTGACTTTAATCCATGCAATATGCCCTTGTTCTGTTTGGACCACTGCTGCTTGATCCAGGTACGAGTTCTGAATGAGCACAATGAAGTGTTCTGGAATTTCCATTTTTCTCAAAATTATCCATAGTTTGTTATGATCCACACAGTTGAGTGCCTTGTCATAGTCAATAAAACACAAGTAAACATTTTTCTGGTATTCTCTGCTTTCAGCCAAGATCCAACTGATGTCAGCAATGATAGCCTTTGTCTGACATCCTCTTCTGAATTGAGCCTGAACCTCTGGAACCTCCCTGTAAATGTACTGCTTCATCCATTGTTGGATGATCTTCAGCAAAATTTACTTACTTGTAATACCAGTGACATTGTTTTATAAATTGAGCATTCTGTTGGATCACCTTTCTTTGGAATAGATACAAATATCGATCTCTTCCAGCCAGACAGCCAAGTAGCTGTCTTCCAATAGGGATATCTTATTCTAATACCATTGTTTTTAAAGAATTGTTAAGTAGGACTAGAAAGTTACTATTACACACTTTTGAGTAACTACCCAATTACTCATTAAAGAGATTTTTCAACTTGTATGATAGAGATACAAACTATTCCTGTCCTTGTGTGAGTACAAGAGATTGTTCCCTTTACCTATTTCAGATTGTTTTTACTCTGACTTAAGTAGTGTCCTCACATGCTGGCACTGATCAGTGCTGTACAGTCATAGATCTCAGGAGCTCTTTCTATAAAGCTTTGTCCTCTCTGGTAGTCTGCCCTTTGATGCTTAACTGCTGGGACCTCCCTAGTCTCATTTAAAAAAAA